CACTCTTTCTATACCTAGTTGTACATACAACTGAAAATTATTAACACCTTGCAGGTTTGCTTTACCTTTCTAATGCAGGTGATCAAACATAAAGTCCTTCTTTATTATTTGACTAGAAAGTATAATGCTTATTATGCAACTAGAAAGTATAAAGTAATGCTTTTGTTAATTTTTTCCACCACTTACTCCTTTTTAATTCAATAGTAATACTCATACCATGAAATTTTTTTTTCCTTGGTATGGATACCTCAATAAAGGCTCTTTTGAGACTGATGTGAACATAGCATTTTAAAAAATGCTGTGTTAAGGGAAATAAATACACTGATATACGCTTATACACATTTTATATATTTTTATATTTATGTATTAAAATTAATCTATGTAAAGGGGAAATTTTAAATCTTTCAGCTACAACATACCATGCTGTTACTGCTGTTATTATCTCCAGATAGAAATAACAACCACTTTTTTTTCCTGCTGCTTTGACTTTATGCCCAGTTATAATTTCTTCTGATAGGGAATAACCTGAGATGTAAAGGTCAGAGTCAGACTTCCTCCCATTTCAGGGGAGTATGAACAATATGTATTCTAGTACATATATCCTTTTAAACTTTAATCTTTTTAGCTTCTTCAAAATCAGGAATTTTCTAACTGTCAGACAATGCTTCGTTTTGAGCTTCGGTCTTGCTACAGAGTGGACTTAAAAAGTGAAAATTAGATGCAGAAGGCCTAATGTTACCAAGTTCAGGCTTACAGAACAGGCAAATCCTTTCCTTTTACTTTCTGTTGAATGTGTATCTGTCTTCAGACTATGAATAACTATTTGGAGTAGCAGAAAAGTATATGCAATATATGTATAGTTTATTTTTTCAATATTAAATTAAAAGAGCTCTGGAAAACTACATGGCTTTTCATAAGTTATATTTTCAAGTGTTTATGTACACATTGCTTACTTCACCACAACTACAAAACATAAAATGTTGCATTTTATTATTGCCTCATTAGATTGTGCGCAGTGTTCCATCCTGTTCCTAAAGATTCATCTAGGAAAACCTTAGTGTCTCTACAGCAGCACCAAATGGATTTGTGGCAGTATAAAAGCCTTGGTTTATTCCTACAATACCATTTCTTGCCACAGAAAGAATACTAACACTAAGGCATGTGT